AGTTGGACGATCCCCTTCATTGCCGGGGCTGCCGCGCTCTGCTCCTGAGCCGCTGCCGCCCCTGGGGGGAGGTGTCTCGTTTTATTGTATTTTTATTTTTTCCTGGGTCGCTTTTTTTATTATGGGGCCTGGAGGGCAGCAGATCTTGCAGGCTGGTTTTGCTCTTCTGCCTTGTCCAGCGTTCTGCCGAGAACTGTAATTTTATTTTTATTTTTTTTCCCCAAGATGCTGCAATAAATTTTAATCGCAGGAAATCAGGTGGACAAAATAGCCCGAATAATCTGAGACATTTGTTAGTGTTTAAGAACGTACACTCTCTAGGCACAGATGATGGCAAAAAATTCCCTGGAAGGGTCTAAGGAAGACCTGAGCAAAATTTCAGAAGAGGAGATGCTGAGGTGGAGCAAGGAAGAGCTGGTGAAAAGACTGAGGAAAGTGGAGAATGAAAAGATGAACTTAATGGTGGAACATGGCAACTTAATGAAAGATGTGAACCGGCGGCTGCAGCTCCACCTGCACGAGATCCGTGGGCTGAAGGAGGTGAACCAGAAGTTGCAGGACGATAACCAGGAGCTGCGGGAGCTCTGCTGCTTCCTGGATGATGACAGGCAGAAAGGCAAGAAGCTGTCGAGGGAATGGCAGCGGTTTGGGAGGCACACGGCCAGCGTGATGTGGAAGGAGGTGGGCATGTACCAGCAGAAGCTGAAGGACCTGGAGGCGAGGCAGGAGACCCTGCTGAGGGAGAACGTGGAGCTGAAGGAGATGGTGCTCATGCTGGATGAGGAGCGGAGCGGGGCCGGCTCTCGGAGCTCCATCGACAGCCAGGCCAGCCTCACCAACCTCAACGGTGGGTCGGGCACCAGGGACGTGGGGGACGGCAGCAGCACCTCCAGCACGGGCAGTGCGGGAAGCCCTGACCACCATCACCACCACCTCCACCACCACAAGCCTGGAGACAGCAAGGCTGGGGCCATGCGGAGGTCTATGGATGACCTGTCCGCACCTCTTCATCACCGGAGCATCCCTAATGGTCTCAATGGTGAGTCTTGCCCCAACAACCCCTCTCACTCCGCCTGCAGCAGGTGCTGCCACCGGCTTTGCGCTGCACCCCCTTTGCCAGTGGGTTGAGGATGCCTGGGGGGTTGCGTCCAAGCCTTTCCCACCCTTGCAGCTCCTTGGTCGCTCTAAAGAAGAGCAGGCAAGGTGGTCTGGGGGGCAGGTGCACCCATGGCATGGTGCTCAGCTGGCGCAGGGGCAAGTGGCCCTGCAGTGCTTGCACTGAGTGTGGTGCTCCTGGACTGCAGTACTGAAACCTAGCCTCGAGGGAATGAGGGAAGGGGGCTTCTTTATCTGGAAGGTTTCTGCTTTGTTTCGTCTTTTTTTTTTTTTTTTATTGGCAGAAACACTGAGCCTCTATTTTCAGAGTTAAATAGACATTTATTTCTTCCTTCCTTTCTCCTCTCCCCTTTAATAAATGCTTTATCTTTGGCTTGTTTTCCTGCTGGTTTGATGAGATTGATGGAAGCTGGGTAAGATGTTTGGAAACAGTTGATTAAGTCCGGGTCGGCCACCTGAAGCATCACCCGTTAGCTGCCCAGGCGTCCGGACAGGCTGGCTGTTGCACACTGAGCAGTTGTGGCTAGGTGAAACTTGGCTTCTCTGCACCCTATCAGAAAGAGGAACTTTGTTCCTTGCAAAAAAAAGTTGCTCTTGAAGGGACACTGTATTCATAATTTTGTCCAGCAGAGTCATTGAAGTTAGAAGCAGGCTCCACCAGGAGATCATGCCAAGCCATCTCTGGCAACCTGCAGTCCAGCAGAGTTTCTCCTGTTGTCTAATGGGGATCAGGCATTAAATAATAATATTGGATTATCCTGGGATGTCTTTAAAATGGAGAGTTTTTCTTTTTTCTTAAAGGGTGAGGAGGGGAATCCTGGAAACCAGCAAGATTTCCAATTTGACATCTAAAAGGAGAAGTTTGGCTGAGGGAGCTAGTAGGACTCCAGCCAGGTGCCAGTCTAAATGCTTAGATATGACTTGTGGTGTTTTAGCCTCTTAAGCCATTTTTGCAGGTGTAGTCTTTAGTTTGGGGTGCACATTCCCCTCTCCAAGCACAGAAACTGCCCCCTCAGCCCTGTCAGCAAGAATGGAGGGCCTGGGAGATTGACCCCTGATTCTTAGCTGTGGCTTGTGCTGCAGGAGAGACCATGAACATCCAAAGGGAGGGAAGAGGAGAGGGCAGGCAAGGTGCTAGGGAGGAGGGCAGCTCAACGGATCTGGTTTCTCCTGTTCCCAGAGCTTTAGGCTGTCCTGGCGGGAGCAGGGAGTGCTGGTCCTTGGTGATTTATGGCAACCCTCAGTGGCCCGGGAGACCCGAGGCTCCGCAGCACTGCTCAGCCCAGCGGTGTGTTCATGGATGGATTTGCCATGCTGGGTTCGGTTGTGCTGTTGTGTTCCCTGCCTGTGGACGGAGACCTAACCCCACAGACAGGCAGTGCTGGTTTAAACAGCAGGTCGTCTGGTCATCAGAGGTTGCAGGGTGCAGCGGGCATTGAAAAAAAATGTATTCATCCTCTCCATCCTTATGTTGATTAGAAATATCTTGCTTGCTAATTTGTAGATAGCTTCTGTTCCTGATGTGACTTTATTTTTGTAAAGCTTTGCTGTTCGAAGAGGCCTCCAATGCACATGGTTGATACTGAAAATGCCGTTACTGTTTTGGGACAGAAGGGCCTTGAGAGTCTCTTTCCTATGAACTCAGATGCTGTGTGCGGGACCTTGTGCAGTCACATCATCTGGAGATGACAGGGAGCCGAGTCTAGTGTCCTACCACCCTGTGGAGGGAAACTGCAGGGAACTACGGTAACGCACACATATATGTTTCTATGCATGTTTCTGCAAACTTTCTTATGCTTCTGCCTATGTAGGAGCAGTATAGACTTAAACAAACATTTCAGAAATGACCATGTAGGAGCAGTATAGACTTAAACAAACAAACATTCAGGCTTTAGTGACTCCTCTTTAAGAGGTACCTGACCTGAATTATGGAAGATGGTCTCTATAGATCTATAGGTTTCTATACTACTGAAGTGAACTCTACAACCAACGTACATGGCCTCCTTTCTGAGGCCTGAGAACGGGGCAGAAGTGATCAACACTCTTTAATAATAGCTGTAAAGCTGCAAACAAACCTGATCTCTCCACTTAGGTAGTGAAGCTGTAAAATGATTTAAATAGTTGTCATTCTCAGATAGCATCAGTATTCAGCGAGGCCATTTCCCTGAATGTGCCTTTGGAAAAGCCTGTGCATACGTATGCAAATGCAAAGCTTATCTTGCCACTTTTTGACTGACAGCAAGAAGTCTGGAGGAGAAGCTTGCTCGGGACCACACCGCTGCCATTCAGCTGGGGACACAATGTGGAAGAGCAGGGCAGGTGAACACAAAGAATCCTGAAAGTCAGGTCGGTGGAGGAGTTGCCCCTGAGGAGCCTCTGCCGCGTGTGATTCTCTCCATTTCTCCTAGCACCTTCTCTGCTTTCAGGGCATGAAAGTGTGGGTTAGATTTTAGCGTTTTATACTCTTTGGATGATGATTCTTTTTTCCCTAGGAGTAAGAATGGAGGAGAGGAGGGAGCAAAGAGTGACATTGCAGTAGTAGGTTGCAATATTCTGTCTGCCTTGCTCCAGTCTCATTTCTGTAAAACACTGTCTGTGAATACAGCAGAAACTGCCTGGCCAGCACAGTGCATGCAGCAATGGAGCAGCCTTCCCATGCTTTCCTTTGGAGGGTGAAGGCAGATCCAGGGCAGAATTTAACATCTGTACTGAAAGTTCACAGAAGCCTTGGACAACTGATAAGTGCAAGATATGGTGAGCTGTTTGCTGGATGACTTTATGTACTATAAAGAACTAGAAAAGCACAAAATGTGCTTCTGGTGTTTGTGGTATCCTTCTACGCAAGCTTCATGCTGTGCTCTGCTTTTCTAGGTATTAAGCAGGATGGTTTCACTTGATTAATGCTTTTCTGAAGGAGTCAAGAGCATGGCAGCTGTTAAATGCTCCTAGGAAGGTAGCTTTTTAATGAAATCTTGGCAAGCAAAGGTGGATTAAATACTCCTTCCTTTCTCTTGAACAATCCTTTTGAAGTGAGTTGGTAAACCAGGGCCTGATTTATTGGCCTCAGTGACCCGGCCCAAGGAGAGGATATGGACTTGAAACTGTAGATTTTTAAGGTGCATTCAGCATAAATGGTACCAGTCATTTTGTTTTTTTAAGAACTGTGATCCATCTTCCTTTCACTTTTTCAAAGTCTATTTATTCTTATAACTGGCTTTTTGGAAGCCAGTGCCTGGAACTTGATGATCACGTGGTCATCAGGTTCCATGCTCACGGGAGATAAGGAAACTGATACTGTGAAATCAGCTAATCTTGGATGACCCATAATTCTACACAGCTCTGGATGTTCTGTTGTGATCAAAGGAGAAGTCTGTTAGGCTTGAAAGTAAATGGTATTTCCATTTTCTGCCTACTCCATATATGCAGGGAACTTACACTGCAGGGACAGAGATACCTCCAAGCTACGTGACAGGAGCTGGGCTCTACCCACAGATCCAGGACAGAAATCCAGGCACAGCTGTTGTGCTCCGCTTCTCCGAGTACTTTGGGCTTTCTTTGCATGCATAGCAGGAGTGTATGTGTATGGGCATAGTCTTTCCCAACTTGTGTATTTAGGCAGTCCGGTTGGAGCTGTTGCCTTTGCTGCGGCTTGTTTTCTGCCAGAATAAAGTTTTTTTTAAAAAAAAATAGAGCTGCACTGGGTCACATTAACATGACCTGAGGGAAGTAAAAAGCCTTTGTGTACCTTAATATGTGTTCCTGGACTGTAAGGTATGTGGGACAACTGGGAGGAGTGATTCAAAGGATCCCTGAAGCCAGAGAAAAAACTTCTACTAATTTTAGGTGTCTCTAGATCTGACTGAAATGCCTGTTTATCCAATAACAGTCTAAAGGAGGACAATTGGCTTCAGTAGGATTTGTGTGCGCATCTGGGACAGCAGAGAGCTGATAATAAGGAGCAAATGTGCCCTTGGTGCCAGTGCCGAACAAACGGGCCTTGTGAGCAGGGCTGGTGCCCGTGGCAGTGGCGATGAGCTGCCCCCCTGCCCTGCAGCGCTGACGGAAAGGGGTGAGTCCTGCCAGCGTGGCCTCTGCACGGGGCACGCGCTGCGCCCTTCCTCGCCTGCGCTGGGAGCCCGCAGAGGGGCCACACGCCGGCTGCTCGTGTGCAAGTGGGACAAAATCCAGTGCACGCAAGGCTTGCAGGCTATGGCTTTCCCCCATCAGCTCAGTTTTGTCTTCAGAACTTTTCATTCACCTTCCACTAATGCTGTTTGTTCTGGATTCCCTAAATTAGTGCTGCTGTTTCCAGTGTGTCCTGGACTTTATTCAAGCTGGGTAAAATATTAATGTATTTCTTTGTCAACATGAATACGTTTCTAAAAAACATTCTTCCAAACATCATGGGTTGAGTCTAGGAGTGGTCAGAAAGGTCTGCGGGAAAGCCATGGCCACGGCAGATAGCAGCTGTGGCCGAGGCATTAATCAATAGCCTATCACTGCTATCTGTTCCAGTGGAAGAAGAATGGTCTCTCTGGGTCAGGCGGTGGGAAGATCTCTAGTTCTATTGATTCCCACTTGTAAATGTCCACATATTTACCCAGCGGGTACAATATATTACATTTAAAATGGTGGAAAAGAGAAACATCTATTCCCTATGGGCTGATATTGATCTAATGCAGCCACTTTGTACTTATTTCTCCTCTTCTCACACCCTTTAGGCCCAAGCCCCGCTTATTCTTTTATTAGAGTATTTATAGTCAATATACATAATATTTACTAGGCCACATTAGTGAGACCTCTGAAGAGAGAAGATGCAGGGATAGAAGTAAAGGCTGAAGTCCGACTCATACGACTTGAGGTATTCATATATTTACAATGCAGACTTCAACACTTGGGTTCCCTGCGCTCCCTTAAGAGGCA